CACTACGCACGAGGTGGGGGGGGGGGGGGGGGGCCCACCCCAACCCCCCCCCCCCCCCCCCCCCCCCCCCCCCCCCCCCCCTGAGGCTCTTCAGCGACTGGTGTGGTTCTCGTTCCTGGGATCCAGGCGTAGCCCGCTGGAGGGGGTCCTGTGATTCCTACAGAAGCTTTTTGACAAAGGGAGGGCTGTTCGCCACCATGGCGGTGTTCGCGGCAGCCATATACATCGGGACACGACGATTCGGGGGGTTCCCAGCCGTTCTCTATCCGTTGGTTAAACGTTTTCTGCGGGGGGCGCGCAGGAGGCGGCCCCGCTCCTAGAGAATCGCCCCCGGTTTGGGACCTCAAGTGGTCCTTAGGGGCTGTCGGGGGTCCGCCTTTTGAACGGCGGCGGAGGCGAGTCCCGTGTTTGTCGCTTTTTTTGACGGCCTCTTGCTGCCGTTGGCGTCTGCTAAGAGGTGCGGGCGACTTGTCTGTGCGCTCTCCGTCGGTCTTGCTGATCCTGTGGAGAAGGGCGACGGCATGTTGGTATCTGTGCCCAATCCGCTTTCTCCCCAGGTCATCCACGTCGGCTTTAGGTCGAGAGTCCATCAGTTTTAGGGCTTTTCTATCCGCCACCGGAATGCCTCCCCCGAGGAGGGAGCGGCGGCACCTCTGTGTCATTTCAGAATGCTGAGGCATTATTGGCCATGACGTCGTATTCAGGTTTGTGTGTCTGGGCCCCCACGACACAGGGGCGCCCCGCTGTCGGCCCCAGCGGCTGGCCGCCATGGGTTGCACGCTGTGCGGCGGGCGTATCAGACGCAGGGTCTGGCCCCCCCGGTGGGGCTTCAGTGTAAATTAAGAAGGTCGCATTCCACACGTGGGGTGGCGGCCTCGACGGCCCTCCCAGGGGGGGGTCGTGCGAGGACGTCTGCCGTGCGGCTTCTTGGGCGGTCGTCTCTTCTTTCGTCCGGTTTTATCTTTTGATGTGTCGGATCCGGTCGGGGCCCATTCCGTGCTGAGTGCAGCGGACTGAGTTAATAGTTAGGTCCTCCTCTGAGGGGGCCTCGGGTTTGACTTTCCGCCTTGTTCAGGAGCTCTTGGGAGAGGTTCCTACAGGTGCGGTACGTGTTTGTTGTTTGGTCGTCAGTGTCCCGTCTGTGTCCCACTATCGATGTCCTAGGGACCGTGAGCACATGACGTAGATTTAATAGTTACCTAATGTTAGCTAAAGTTCTCTGAATAGTGCGTGAGTCCCTTAGCTACGAGCCCATAGGCCGCCGGTTGGCAGAGTAACGAGGGGGTGCGGCTGTGCGCAGGGGCGGGCCTTTATAGAGGAGGGTGGCTAGGTGATTGGAGCCAATTATTTTGCACGCTCGGCGTGTGACTGGGGTCACGAGCGATATCCCACTAGCGAAGTTCCAAAGGGATACGCACCTATTCGTAGAACTCTAAGTTACATAGGTACTATTAAATACTTGCATTTGCTAAAAGAATCATTAGCTAAGGGGTGGTACCATTATATTGAAGCTATGCGTGTCTCTTCACGACAATAGTCTGTACAGTGACCGCATTACCACAATGCTGCAAAATCCGTCTGATATCTCACTTCATGCTCCTCCTTTCCTCACTGAGAACAAAGGACCTAAGCGACTGTAGACTCCTCCACTTGGGAGTACACCTCAGAATCAGAATCAACCCGAAACCATACACGCAACCACGTCACAGGTCCATCTTTTTTTAACACCACAAAGGAATATTGTCATTCACATTTCTGTACCAGCTTTTGGCGCTGGCATCAAACTACGTCAGTGGTTCTAAAACTTTTTGCACCAGTCCACTAGAAACAACTACTTTCTCTCCAAGTACCACCAAAAAAGACAACACTATCAGGTTGCGTGTAAGCCTAAGTATTCATCCAAGATCAGGCAGTGGGTTTCATTCCTACAGAGTATATTTAATAATGTGAGCCGTTGTAACATTTACTCATTTTCAACAGTAAAACTGTGCTTTAAATATAGAGAAGAAAAAACTAAAAAAAACTGTAATTATAATGATTCAATGTAAATTTTCATTCATTACCCAAACTGTAAAAGTCCTTGACTCACCACTGTGAATTATATCCTCGAGTGGGGATGCCTTCTTTGTCCACCAGAGGGTTTGACACGGCTGCACTTCTTGTTAATTTGGCTTGTCTGCTGGCTCTTACCCAGTACATCTGCATATACTCACACAAGAGATGTTGGTTATATGGTTTGGGGATCAATGATCCTTTTGTTGTTCTCTGTTCCCTTTTGCCCGCACAGAACTTGGGAAAATAACTTTTGTATATTGTTACGACCGGCTCTAGGCCGTAACATAAACAGAAGGGTGAAGAGACACGGCAATGTTCAGACCCTCGTAGGGGGCATTTAATTGCTACTCATTCCAGAATTAGAATCCTTTTACATTGCACGTAGTAACAGGAAGTCACGACTTGGAAATTGTTCGGCTCAGATGCAACAGACAGAGAGAAATAATAAAAATAAAAATAAAGATAAAAAACACTTCTAAGGAATACCATTAAATTTAGAATAGAGTTAACGTTTACTTTTAACAAATATAAAAGTGCACATGGTGCACACAATGTAAGGTGACAGCCGTACAGTGGAAGTAAAGTGACGTATGATGGGCAGTAAAGAGACTTTATAAAGGGCGGGGGGACAGTTAAGAAGTGTTCAGAGTCCAACAGAAGAGGGGAAGAAACTGTTCTTGTGTCGGGGAGGTTCTGGTCCTGTGGACCGCGTCTCCTGCTAAGGGGGAGTTGGAATAGTCCATGAGCAGGGTGAGGGGGTCGGCTGTGATACGACCAGCCGGCCTCGAGCTCGGGCGACGTAAGGTCCAGCAGCGATGAGGCTGCTTCCCAACACTACCTCTGCAGATCGCACCAATGCGCTGTATTCTCTGTTGACCAGCCTGTTGCCCAGGAACACACGCCCCATTGGTGTGACGGAGGAGGGCCCCCCCCCCCCCCCCCCCCCCCCCCCCCCCCCCCCCCCCCCCCCACCCCCCCCCGGGGGGGGCCCCCCCCCCCCCCCTGGGGGGGGGTTGGGTGTGTGCCAGAGGATGGACTCGATGATGGGCCGTGAAGAACTGCACCCAACATCTGTGGCAGGCAGCTTGGCTTCTGAGCTGCTGCAGGAAGTACTTCCTATGCTGGGCCTTCTTGATGAGAGGAGCTGATGGTCAGCTCCCTCTTGAGGTCCTGGTGATGGTGTGCCCAGGAAACGAACGGGGAGAGTCCATCACGGAAGGTGGGTGGGCGGGGGGGACTGTGCTCTTCCTGAGTCCTCTATCATCTCCACTGTCTATTGGGCGTTCAGCTCCTGTTGGTTACCACTGCACCAGGACACAGCGGTCCAACTCCTCCTGTAGGCGGCTCATCGTTCTTGGAGCATGGAGTCCCAATGAGGGAGGTGTCTATCGCGAACTTGAGCAGCTTCACAGGAGTCGTGGCTGGAGGTGCAGTGGTTTGGTGTACAAGGGAAAAGAGGCAGGGGAGAGAAGACACAGCCCTGTGGGGATCCTGTATTTATAATCCGAGAGTCCGAGACATTTTCCCCCAGGACGCACTCGCTGCTCTGTCTGTCTGGAAGTCAGTGATCCTCCGGCAGGTGGGAAACGGGCACGTTGAGCTGAGAGCTTGGTCCTGTGAGGGATGGCTGGAGGATCGTGTTGAAGGGCAGAGCTTAAGTCCACCGAACAGGACCCTGGCGTAGGTCCCCGGGGAGTCCAAGTGCTGTAGGATTGTGGTGGAGGGCCAGGTGGTTGCGTTGTCTACAGATTGTTGGCTCTGTAGGCGAACTGCTAGGGGGTCCAGGCGGTGGGAGGTGAGGGGACTTGAGATGGGAGAGGACCAGGCGTTCAAATGATTCATGCGACAGACCGTAAGTGCTACCGGTCTGTAGTCATTGTGTCCTGTGATCCTGGCGTCTTCGGGACGGGGCAATTGGATGGAGGATTTGAAGCAGGCCCGGGACATGGCAGTGATGCAGAGATTGAGTTGAAAATGTCAGTGAACACAGGAGTTAGTCACTCGCGCAGTGTCTCTGAGGGCTGGAGACACTTGGTCCTGGGCCAGGAGCTATGCGGGGGTGCAGCCTCAGAAGGTTGTTTTAATATCTCAGTGCCGGGACTTGGCTGCTTTCAGTTGCGGTCCTGAACTGATATTTAGCTGCTTTGTGCCGCTGCGGTCCCATCCCTGAAAGCGACAAAGACATGGCACCATCCACCTTACCGGGGCACCTTAGCCGTTCTATACGGCAGGGACATGGCTCTCCACCGTGCTGTCCGGTGTGGGCTTAGCACAGGTGGGTTGTGAGGATCCTTCCTCTGCCTGTGTTATTCCTTGCATGTGGACACGCACTGCTAAGTGATAGGCAAGAGGTAAGAAGGGAAGAAACGCCCTACGCAATGATTGCGCATACGATTTAAATGAACTTCGAAACTGACTTGACCATGTTCCAAAAAGTTGGACATGACACAAAACTGTGTCCTCTTCCTGCGCGTCGGCATCAAGATCAAATAGTTTTGTTCAGATGGTTTTCAAGAACGTAACCGTATATTTTCGCTTGTATGTTGATGTTATAATTGGACATAAAGCCATCACCTTGATCACCAGGCTGAAAGGAGTGGAGCTCGACTACTTGCCCAATGGCGACTTCAATTTTGGCTTTGGTTACACCGTTTCCCCTGCATCAAGACGTTTGCCTAAACCCGTTACGTTATCCACGATTTTTCAGGGCGGTTCAGACTCTTTAACATCAGCAGCACTAGCTTGCTTGCGACAACCCCTGGTATCAAGAGCCCCCCTTCGCAAGCCAACATCAACCAGGCAGACCCTCTCCCAGCCCTTACTCTCTCTCTACAGTAAGAATAGAGATCGGTAACTCCGCTAGGGAGTGCTATCAACTAAGTTATTTCCCGACTCAGCCCCCAATGAGTAACCCTAAATAACCCCCTACCCCCTTGTACCCCTACTTACACCCCCCCCCCTCTCATCCCAAACCCCCCCCCCCCCCCCCCCCCCCCCCCAAATAAACCCCCCCCCCCCCCCCCCCCACCACCCCCCCCCCCCCCCCCCCCCCCCCCAACACCCCCCCCCCCCCCCCCCCCCCCCCCCCCCCCCCCCCCCCCCCACCCCCCCCTCCCCCCCCCCCCCCCCCCCACCCCCCCCCCCCCCCCCCCCCCCCCCCCCCAATGACCCCATTCCCTGGCACCACCGAGTTAGCTGTAATCAGAAAGCAAAGGATACACAACAGAGATAGCCTTGCTTTGACAACAGTCAGTAAGCTCGTAATTGTAGTGACTTTTATTTAGGTCTCCTTGAAAAAGAGGTCCTTAATTCAATGGGACTTTCCTGGTTAAATAAAGTAAAAAAAAATAATAACTATATATATAGTATATATATATATATATAGTAAATATTAGGGCTGTCCAAATTATCGCGTTTTAATTCACGTTAATTACCGTTTTCATTAACGCGTAAAAAAATAATTAACGCATTACTGCCATTGACGTGTCAACTCGTGTTGGATGTACCCAAAAGTAGAAGGTTGTGAGCAAGTCAAACAGATTATAGCAGAGGCTCGGGAAGACCTGCTTCACAGAAACTAGGGAACTCAAGAGGCCTATGGAGACGCAGGAACAAAATCAAATGTAGTGTCACGGAATACCATAGAGACGGGCGGCCACACAGACGGTTTAGGCTCAAAGTGAGATTTTAACTAATTGATTAAACTGTCCAAAATTGTGGCAGGACATGTAGGGAGCAACTATAGGAAACATATTTAGGCAGGTGTATAAGTAAAATGTTGATTTGGTGTTTAGTTACTCGTTAAGTACATTTGGTATGAATTAACAATGTGTCATTACATTTGAAAAATTCATTTTAAATTAATGGAGGGGATTTGAAATAGTAATGTTAAAAATGCGATTAATCGTGAGTTAAATCACCATTACTATGCGATTAATCAACTAATAAAAAACTTAATCGTTTTGACAGCCCTAATTTATATATATTATTTTATTATATATATATATCAAACTATATATTATATGTATTTTTATCATTGTGCATACACTAGAGGGAGCCGCGTACCAGTGATTTACGCTCCCACACTTGAGAATCACTGAACTACGTCAATACAGACAGACAGACTGACATATTACAGTACAGACCCAAAAGTTTGGATGCTTTGTCATTCAATTGAGTTGTCGATTCACTCTCAGCCTGTGTACGGGCTAGTTGACCAGGGCCCTCCCCAGTTCCACCAGACTTTTTGTGGGGGAAAGGGGGGGGCCCCAATCAGATGGTTTTTGTGATGAGTTGGACACAGAGTGAAGGTGAAAGGGCCAAACAAATGCTAAGCTTCAGGATCTCCTTCAAGACTGTTGGAAGACTTTTCAATCACTACCTCTTGAAGCTCATCAGAGAATGCCAAGAGTGTTGCGAAGCAGTAATCAGAGCAAAGGTGCTACTTTGAAGAACTTAGAATATAGATCAAATTTTCAGTTGTTTCATACTTTTTTACTTAAGACCATACATATTCCACATGAGTTAATTCATAGTGTTGATGCCTTCTGTGTGAATCTACACTTTTTCATAGTGAAATAATGATAAATATGAAAAAAAAAACAAATCTTGAATGAGATGGGTGTCCAATCTTTTTTTATCAGTTGTCAATGGCTTTCATTATTACTTCTCACCCCCCTTCAGATGGAAGAGGAGAAGTAATGATATGTTATACCACTCTAGAACTACCCACCATTATCTACAGCTACTACAACGTCTTTAAGCATATAGCATAAACATACTTGTAAAAAAAACTTAAAATTGTTTGTATTTTTTATATTTTTTTTTTCATTTTTTAGTGTGTGTATGTATGTATCATATCTGTATTGCAATCTCTTCAAAAGTTTAATTGTCAACACATTGATTAAACATGTACTCTAAATAAAGTGTGTGAGTACACCGTCCCTAGTTCCGAACAACACAACACCAGACAACAAGCAGCAATCCCAAGCTACAAATCATTTTCACATTTATTTGAGAAGTAATTATAATTCTTTTTTATATCTCTTTTATTTATTTTTGTCTAAATATTTTCCCCAGGTTACCCAAACGGACGGTGCCAAGTTCCAGTGCACTCACACTCAGCCAGAAAGCATCACTTACTTAACCTCACAGACAAGGCCATCCCCCAGCATGTGCGCAAAGCTGGGCACCAAAGGGAACGCATCCACAACCCAGCATCAGCAGAAGCCAGGCAACATGGACTTTATGAACGTCCCGTGACCAGGCATGTCAGGGTGAGCACTGAGTCACAGGCACCAGCGGGACCTGTCCCAAAGGGAAAGCAGACGGACACATGAGTGGTTATGTCGATGGACTAGTATCATGAGTGGGGAATGACTCAATGGAGTACTGTTGGATTTTTGTATTCTCAAGTCTACACGAATCCCAATAAAAGTCGTTCCTTATAAATATATAAACTAAAATATCCTAAATTGAAACCACAATAAATTTAATATTCCCATAGTTATTGTTTCTCTCTCTCAAAACTCTTTACTTCCCATTGATGTTTTCACATGGAAGTATTTTGGCATCTTTCTCACCTTTAACTTAGCTTTTCAGTGAAAAAAGCGAGTACTCTCTAAGCCAACAGTCTCAGTATGTAAAGACTGCAGTTTTTCTATAGATGAAGACCGCATGTTGTGTTATGCATTTGTTCACAAAATGTTATAAACAATGGAATGATTGGACCTATTCATAATGGTTTTGGGGCAAAGGAATGAATAGAAGACAACACAATAAATATGTTGCCTTTATGTTTTGTGTGGCAGAAAGCAGAGGCAGCGAGCAACAGCCAGAGGCTCCTCCAGCCCCAAACCCCCGCCTCCCCCATGTGGGCACCGCGCTGCTGAGCTCTGTTCCAGTACATGGTCCGGACCACCGATGAGATCTGCTTCGAAGTCAATGACGACTTTGAACTGCTTAAAGAATGTAAGTAAGGGTTGACTACCAGGGGATTGAAAGCATTTTCATTAAGTGGTTCTCAACCCCGCTCCTCGGAGCTTCCGGTCACTCACATTTCTGTTCAAATCTTCCTCTAAATTGGCGTAGCCTGGTGGACTAAAGGGGGCGTGAATCGAGAATGGACGTTTACATTGCTATGGGCGGGGCGGCTGGACGTCAGTCCATACTGCTGTGCCAGTGTGGCGCCAGATTCAAAATAAAAATTCAATGTAGTAATAAAGGTGCCTGCAGATGCGCCTACAGACGGGTTTATGCAGTAAAGTCTGACGATCTCTCTGCTTTTCCTCCTCCCTCCTAGATAAGTGTGGTGGGGTTGCCTTGTCCGGTTATTCGCGTTTGGGTTATTGCTAGTTTTCGTTTTTGGTTTTTGGCATGTTTCGTTGTTGGCTATTTTGGTTTTTTTGTTTTGGGCGCGTATGTTTTCGTTTTTTCTTTTTTTTGTTTTGTTCTTTTTGTTCGTTTTTTTTATTTTGTGGTTTAGGATTTCGTCGTTCCTTGTGTGGATTGTCGTGCCCTTGTTTTTGTTGATCTTTTTTATCTTCTACAATTTGTTTTTTTGTCCCCGTATTTTTGTTTTTATTTCTGTTGTTTTGCTTTAGTTTTGGGTATTGCACTTGTGTTGTTTTGTCTTTGTTCGCTTTTATTTTGGGCTTGGTTTTGCTCTTGTTTATGATATTTGTTGTTTTTTTTTAAGTCGTTTTTGTTTTGTTTTTTGTATTTGTTTTTGTTGTTCCGTTTTGGTTTCTTTTTCTCTGTTCTTTTTCCGCTTTTTGTTTGTTTACTGTTTTGTTCTGATGGTTTCGGTTCTGTTTTAGTTTCGGTCATTTTTGAGTTTTTTGATTTGCTGTTTTCCTTTAATCCCCTCTTTTTCTTCTCCGGAATTCTCTTATTGGGTTTTTTTCGCTTTCCTTCTTCTTCGGGTTCTTTTGTTTTTCGTTGTTTGTTTTGTGTTTTTTCGTCCTTTGTCTTTATGTTGGGTATTTCATTGGTTGGTTCCCTTTTTTTAGTGGTTTTGCTTTTTTTCGGCAGTTTGTTCTGTTTGTAGTTATTTTTTTTCTTGTTGTGTTGTTTTTTTTTTGTTTATGCGTTTTTGGGGTTGTTTTGCGCTTTTTATGGTTTATCTTTATTGCCTCTCTTATCTCTTTTTTTTTGTTTATTGTGTGTTGTTGTGAGAGAGATAGTCAGACTTTCTGCCCTAAAACCGTCTGTGAGGCGCCATCTGCTGGACGACCTGTATTACTACAATTTGAATTTTGAAATCTGGCGCCAACACTGGCTCAGATGTTGGACTGACGTCAGCCGCCGCCGCCCAGACGCAAATGTAACGGCCCAGAGTCTCGTTCACGCCCCTTTTAGTCCTCCAGGCTACGCCCTTTAGAGGAAGTTTGAACCTGGAATGTGAGTGCGTAAGATCCGAGGAGCGGGGGTGAGAACCTCTTTATGAATATGATTTCAATCCATGGTAGTCAAACCTTTCTTACCTTCTTTGAGCCAGTTCAAAGGACGTCATTGACTTCGAAGCTGAATTCTCATCGGTGTCCTGACCAATGTACTGGTACAGAGCTCTGCAGCGCGGCTTGCACAGAGGGGAGGTGGGGTGTGGGGGCTGTGAGGAGGCCTCTGGCTGATGCTGCGCTTCCTCTGCGTTCTGCCACACAAACATAAGGAAACCTCTATTTAATAGTGTATGTCTCTATTTCTTCTTTTTTGCCCAAAACCCTTTATTTATAGGTCCCAAGTATTCTTGTTTAAGTAACATTTTGTGTAAACAAAGATCAGACACAACAGGCTGTCTTCATCTATAGAAAACAATGCTGTCTTTTACATACAGAGAGTCTGATTGGCTTAGAGAGTACTCTCTTTTTCACTGAAAAAGCTAAGTTAAAGGTGTGAAAGAGGCCAAAAAATATTCATGTGAAAACTATCAATGGAAGTAAAGAGTTTTGAGAGAGAGAAACAATAAACTATGGATTTATTAATTTTGTGGTTTCAAAGTTTGGATATTTTAGTTATATTTATTTATTAGGAATCACTTATATTTGGGATTCTTGTTAGACTTTAGAATACAAAAAAATCCAACAGTAACTCCTTGGAGTCATTCCCACTCTTGATACTAGTCCAATCGACATAACCACATCATGTGGCAGTTCTGCTTCACTTTGGGACATGTCCGGCTGGTTGCTCTGTGACTCATGTGCTCACCTACAGGCCTGTGTCCGGGACTGTTTCTTAAAGTCCATGTTGCTGTGCGCGCTGCTGCTGCTGGGTGTTTTGTGGTTGGGCGTTTTCTTTGGGTGCCACAGCTTTGGGAGCACAGTGCTGGGGGGATGGCCTTGTCTCGTGAGGGGTAGAGTAAGTGCTGCTTTCTGGCTGAGTGTGAGTGGCACTGGGAGGAACACTTGGCACCTCCGTTCTGGTAACTGGGGAAAATTATTTAGACAAGAATATATAAGAGATTTAAAAAAAAAGAATTATAATTTACCTTCTCAAATAAATGTGAAATATGATTTGTAGCTGGGATTGTGCTTGGTTGTCTGTGTTGTGTTGTTCGGAATAGGGACGGCATGTCTCAGCACAACACTTTATTTAGAGTACAATGTTTAAATCAATGTGATTGGACAAATAAAACTTTTGAAGAGATTGCAATACAGAGATGCTTACATTACATACAACACAACTAAAAAATGAAATAAAGAAAATAAAAAAAATGACCAACTTTTAAGTTTTTTTTTACAAGTATGTTTTAAGCTATATGCTTAAGACTTTTTGTACCCCCACCCCCCACTTAGTAGCTGTGATATGGTTGGTTGTCTCTAGAAGTGTATAACATATTTACGTTTCCTCTTCCATCTGAGGTGAGAAGTCTAATGAAAGCATTTGACAACTGTTATAAAAAAGTTTTGGACAACCTTTCTCATTCAAGATTTGTTTTTATTTTTCATATTTTCATTTTTTTAACTATGAAAATTGTAGATTCCACTGAAGCATCAACTCTATGAATTTAACTCATGTCGGATATTATTTTATGTACTTAAGTAAAAAAGTATGAACATCTGAAATTGTTTTTATTCTAAGTTCTTCAAAGTAGCACCTTATTTTGCTTCTGATTACTGCTTCGGCACCACCTCTTGGCATTCTCTTTGATGAGCTTCAGAGGTATGATTGAAAAGGTCTTCCAACAGTCTTAGAAGGAGATCTGAGAAGCTTAGCATTTGTTGGCCCTTTCACCTTCACTCTGTGGGTCCACCCTCATCGCACAAACACCATTCTGGATTGCCTCACAGTTCTGGTGATGTGGAGGCCGTGTCACTAGCCTTACACAGGCTGAGAGTGAATCTACAACTCATTGATATGCCAAAGCATCCAAACTTTTGGTCTGTTCTGTATATGTCAGTCTGTCTGTCTGTATTGACGTGTTCAGTGATTCTCCAATGTGTTGGTACGCGTAAAACACTTGGAACTCGGGGGGACTCCCGCTAGTGGTATGCCAAAAGATAAAAAATACCATATTTATTTTATTATAGTATATATATATATTTATTATATATATATATGATTAGGGCTGTTGTAAAACGATTAATTTTTTTAGTGATTAATCGAACCATATTAATGGTGAGTTAACTCACGATAATCGGCATTTTTTAACATTCTATTTCAAATCAACTCCAATTGAAGTTACATGAGATTTTCACATGTAATGACACTTTTTGGTATTCATACCAAATGGACTTAAAGAGTAACTAAACACCAAATCAACTTTTTCCTATTACTTATACATGCTAAATATGTTTCCTATAGTGCTCCCCTACATGTCCTGGCCATATATTGAACCTTTTCTCAAAATTAGTTAAAATCTCACTTTGAGCCTAATCGCGTCATGTGTGGCGCCCTCTCTATGAGTTTTCGTTGTCATACCATTTGAATTTTGTTCCTGGAACTCTCCATTGGCTCTTGAGTTCTAGTTATCTGTGACGGCAGGTCTTCCCGAGCCTTGTATAAGTCTGTTTGACTTGCTCACAAAAACCTTTACTTTTGGGTACAACCAACAAGAGTTTACACGTCAATGGCAGTTAACTGCGTTCTATTTTTTTACGCGTTTAATGAAAACCCGGTTAATTAACGTGAATTAAACGCGATATATTTGGAACGAGCCCTAATATTAATTATTTTTTATATAGTATATATTTATTATTTTTTATATTTGATTATATTTTTTTTACTTATTGTAACCAGGAAAGTCCCATTGAGATTAAGGACCTCTTTTTCAAGGGGAGTCCTAAATAAAAGTCACATACAATTACAGAATTACTGACTGTTGTCAAGCACGTGCTATTCCTGTTGTGTATCCTTTGCGTTCTGTTACAGCGTAACTCGGTGGTGCAGGAATTGTCACAGTTCATCTCTGTTTTGGGAGGACGGAAGTGGTTCAGTTGGGACGGGGAACAACTTGAACTCTCATTTTGTTTTGTAGGTCGTGAAATAACTTAGTTGAAAGCCCCTCCATGCGGAGGAGGTTACCGATCTTTACTTACTGTTATAGAGATAGGTAAGGGCGTGGTGAGGAGGAGTCCCTGCCTTGGTGATGTTGGCTGCGGAGGGAGGTGCCACTTGAAGTACCAGGGGTTGTCCAAGCAAAGCTAGTGGCTGATGAGTTAAAGAGTCCTGAACCGCCTGAAAAATCGTTGGATCACCGGTAACGGGTTTTAGGCAACGTCTTTCTGCGAGGGGGGAAATGGGTGTAACCAAAGCCAAAAATTGGAGTCGCCATTTGCAGTTGTCTGAGCTCCACTCCTTTCAGCCTGATGGATAAAGTGATGGCTTTATGTCCTATTACAACATCAACATTACAAGCAAAATATTACGGTTACGGTTTCTTGAAAAAATTTGAACAAAACTTTTGATCTTGATGCCCGGAAAGCGCTGGAAGAGGACACAGTTGTGGTCATGTAACTTTTGGAACATTTTCAATGTCAGTTTCAAGTTCAGTTAAATCGTGTCTTTATTCATGCGCATCATTGCGGTGTAGGGCGTTCTTCCTTTTCCTTTGCCTATCACTTAGCAGGTGGGTGACAGCATGCAGGAATAACACTGGCAGTGGAAGGATCCTCACCCCCCACCGTGCTAAGCCACACCCGGGCAGCGACGGTGGAGAGCCTATGTCCTGGGCCGTATAGACGGCTAAGGTTGGCCTGTAAGGTGGATGGATGCCCATGTTTTGTCGGCTCTTTCAGGGAGGGGGACCGCCAGCCGGCTACTAAGCAGCTAAATATCAGTTCAGGGATTACGAACTGAAAGCCGCCAAAGTCCCGGCACACAGAGATAGTAAAACAACTCTTCTTGGCTGCACACCGCAAAGCTCCGGCCGGACCACGTGTCTCCCGCCACTTGAGACACCTGCGCGAGTGAGCTAACTCCCTGTGTTCACTGCATTTTTCCCAACTCTCCTCTCGGCAGTCCTTCCATGTCCCGGCCTGCTTCAAATTCCTCATCATTGCCCCCGTCCCGAAGAAGCCAGGATCACAGGACTCCATATGACTACAGACATGTAGCACTTACGGTCTGTCGTTCATGGAAGTCATTTGAACGGCCTGAGTCCTCTCCATCTCAAGTCCCTACCTCCCCCCTCTTGGACCCCTTGCAGTTCGCCTACGAGCCAACAGATCTGTAGGACAACGCCATCAAACCTGGCCCTCCACCACATCCTACGCACTGGTTCCCGGGGACCTACGCCAGGGTCCTGTTGTGGACTTAAGCTCTGCCTTCAACCGATCCTGCCATCCCTGCTCCAGGACAAGCTCTCCCAGTTCAATCGTCCCGTTGCTCCAACTGAGGTGGATCATGACTTCCTGACAGACAGGAAGCAGGAGGGGCGTTGGGGACAATGTTCTCGGGACTCTCGGCCATTATAAATACAGGAGCCCCAGGGCTGTGTTCTTTCTCCCCTGCTCTTTATCCCTGTTACACCAACCACTGCACCTCCAGCACGGACGCTGGTGAAGCTGCTCAAGTTCGCGGATGACACCTCCATCATTGGACTCATCTCCAAGAACGATGAGTACGCCTTACCAGGAGGGAGGTGGACGGCGTGGTGTCATTGGCTGTGCAGTGGTTCACAACCTGGAGCTGAACGTCCCAGAAGACTGTGGAGATGATTGTGGGACTTCAGGAATAGCACTGGCCCCCCGGCCCCAACCGTCACGTGTATGGACTCTCCCCTTCCGTTTCCCTGGGCGACCACCTCACCCAGGAACATCATAGTGGGAGCTGACCATCAGCTCCCTCATCAAGATAGGCCAGAGAGGATGTACCTTCCTGCAGCAGCTCAGGAAAGCCATGCAGCCCCGGTGCACATATGTTGTGCAGTTCTACACGGCCATCATCGAGTCATCCTCACCTCCTTCCGTCCCGTGGGGTTCGTGGATGGCAACAGTCAGGACAAAGAGACCTACAGCGCATTGTGCGCTACTGCAGAGAAGTGATTGCCGCAGCCTTCCATCGCTGCAGGACCTGTAACGTTCGCCCTGAGCTTCGAGGCCGGGCATTCTGGTCGTCATCACAGCCGACCCCGCTCACCACTGCAATGGACTATTCCAACTACTCCCCTTAGGCAGGAGGACTGCGGGTTCCATCAGGACTAGAAACCTCCCGTCACATAGAACAGTG